TAAAAAAAGTGTGAAAGACAAAGAAGACCTCTGGGCTTGTATCTCAATGAGAGTGTTGACATAGGTTTTATGTTTTGCATGATCTCTGTGTTTACTGGGACTGGATGCAAATAGAGCTGGTTTATCTATGGGGAAGGTAACTTAGATATATCAGAGACCACAAATAAGAGTTCCAGTAAAGCCCAGGCAGTGATTTTATTCTGTAATGCAATAGGTTTTAAAAATAGTCAGAATGGTTGGGACAGCAGAGAGAACAGACAAAAAGATGCAGCCTCTGGAAATATATTGATACAGTCTGAAGAAACCTTAAATAAAGAGAAATCTTGGTTGACTAAAAGGAGTTGGAACTGCAACACAATGAAGTATCCCTTGAACTCTACTAGCTTGTTATATGTGTTTATATGTGTTATATGTGTTTATGTGTGTTATATGTCAAAGACATATTCCCTAAAGAAATATAGCTGTAATTATAAGGGCTGAAAGGAAATTGTAAATGTCTTCATAGAACCATAAAAGTTGGAATCAATGAAAAGAGATTCAGTTACCTCCTGCTGTTTAACCAGGAAAGCATCAATAAAACTTCTTTGGTCACTTTTGTCCAGGTTTTTGAGATGTTCTACAAAAGTAACTTGTATGTAAGCACAGAATTCATCTCTGTTTCGGAGAATAGCCTTGTTAGCCCTTAGGAGAAATCCAAGGTATGGGAAGATGTTGTACATCTACAAAAGGGAAAGCTGTTAGGGAGAATTTACCAGCCAGAGGTCTGAAGACACTATAAAAATGAATTAGTAATATTGTGCCCATTTTGCAGGTACAAAACCAAAAACTTAAGATTAATATTTTTATCTTTAGAACATGAAAGAGTGACTGAACAAATTCATGGTAGAAAATCCATCAAGGATCACCGAGTAGATGGAAAACTCCTGCCCCAAATGACTGTTTTCCAGAAGTAGTGTAGATGTCAGACTTGAACAGCTGCATGTTGCCAGCATGGAGATGGAAATGTTGACCAGCGACTATTTGATTGTTTTAACCAGCTCTTCCACTAACAGGTTTTTTTTTCCTTTTTCAATGCCCAAAAGGAACAGAAGTGAATCTGATATTGCATGCTAGTGTCAGAGAGTATTTTTCACTTGTTGAGACATTTCAGTGTGCCAGAAGCATTAAAAAATAGATTTTGTATCAAGGCTCCTTGTATAGGAAGAGCACATGCTCTATAGCTTCTCCCTGCCTCATGTTCTGGGGGAGTACTGTTTCATCTGATCACTTTATTTATGTGAACCATATTTTTGGAGAATGCTGAGCTGGATATTATTGCACTGCATGGTCTGAATTTTTCCATCCAGATCTAGCATGCTTCAAATTATAGCTTAAGCATGTTTTTGAGAGACTAGGGGTTTGATTGTTGTCTTCTAAATTCTCAGATTGTCTCTCAAGCTTTGTTTTGTCCCAGGCAGTATTTGTAAACCTATTAGCTCTCACAGCCTCAGATTCGTTGGTATAATAGAAGCAATTCAATGCCAGTATTGCTATGTAGATGATTAGAGGGATGGAGCACCTCTCCTACAAGAAAAGGCTAAGAGAATTGGGATTTTTAGCCTGGAGAAGAGAAGGTTTCAGAGTGATCTCATTGTGGTCTTCCAGTACCTGAGGGGGGCCTACAGAAGAAATGGAAAGAAACTATTTATAGGGGCATGGAGTGATAGGACAGGTGGGGATGCATTCACACTGACAGAGGCAGGGTTAGATTGGATATTAAGAAGAAATTCTTTACTGTGAGGGTGGGGAGGCACCAGAACAGGTTGCTCAGGAAAGTCCCTTCCAACCCAACCCATTCTATGATTCTGTGTTCCTGTGGCATCCAATGGAACTGCAACATAAACATGTTTATCATTACCGTAACTAAAGGTTTCCCAGCAAGCCTCATGTTCTCATTGGTCAAATGTAGAAGTCTCACAAATCTGGAGTCTTTGTAGTCAAATCGTTTTCCAAGCAATATTGACACAATTATGTTAGCAACTGCTGCATTAATCATTTTACTGGCATCGAAGGGCTTTCCTATAGAGTGAAGAAAAAATACATTACATTGTGGTGAGAGATGTAATTTGTAAATGTAAACCTACATGTCTATATAATCATACATATATTTGATTTATTGCTATTACTGATTAATATTCAAGGTTAGAATACTGTGACAAGACAAAAATGCCAGAGGACCCAAGTTCATCAAATTGATTCAGTATAAAATACATTTCTTAAAAAGGTCTGAACTTGAGAAGGTTACTTGCAGGCCTCTGGATACTTGAACAAAACCTTAGAGGTAGTGAGGCACTGGAACATGTTGCCCAGAGAAGCTGTGGCTGCCCCATCCCTGGAAGTGTTCAAGACCATGTTGGATGGGGTTTGGAGCAACCTGGGCTAGTGGAAGGTGTCGCTGCCCATGGCAAGGGGGAGTGGAACTAGATGATCTTTAAGGTCCCTTCCAACCCAAACCTTTCTGTGATTCTATGATTCTGCAGGTTTGTAGAATGGATCTTCCACTCACCTTCTTGTGATGCAATGTTGCGTGCCAGGTACCCATACTCCTCCACTATGCGGTCCTCAATGGCCCTTTTTCCCATTCCAAAGTCTCTTAAGGTTGTAAGAGTAAATCTTCGCATCACCTTCCAGTTTTCACCATGAGCAAAAATAACCCCTGACACAAAGAGAGCATTTCAAGGTGGCAGAAGATTTAATTAACTAATTTTAGATGCTGAATGTGGCTATTTAGCAGCAGTCACTTTTAAAAAGAGCTAATTTACATCTGGCTGAGGGAAAAAAACAACTTTCCCTTATGTATTTTCAGATGTCAGAATTAAGTTTATTGGACAAAAAAAAGGATAAACTATTTAAGATGTATTTGATCAAATCTTAAGAAGATTATATATACTAAAACACACTTGTCACTGAAAGAAAGATGGCATTGGAAATTAAAATTCAAGCCATTGATTATCATACTTTTGAAGTGGGATTGAACTGAGATCTCATGTCTTTGATGCCTGCAGGAGAAACCTGACTAGGCACAAATGTCCTTAAATTTAGGTAGAGTCTTAAAACCATCACAATATTAGTTTTTTTCACTGAAATTGTTACACCATGTAACTGATGACTTTAGCTATATTTTTTCAAGGGAAAAAGTTGTAAGGAAATCTTCTATGCAATAATGTGGTCAAAAGATACAATGATTAAAATGTTCACAGCATTTTTCCTGAATTTGTCCAAAGGTCATAGGAGATGTAAGTCTGAAACTCTCATGTTAAATTAGGGTGATGTCTGGGTGTGAAATTCTCATTTGGAAACTCAGCTTAGCATACAGTATTTCCCCTTTTAAAACAGATCCCCAGTTTTGCATATGTTCTATCTATTTCCATATTCAGAATTTAAAAGCACCATTCACTACTAGAAATGACAAGCAGCTGTATAATGCTCATTTCACAAAAGGAAGTTCTATGATAAGTCCAAAAAACCCAGAAGTCCAGAGTCATGTCATGAAAGCTAGAAATTCTTCTCTGGCAGAGGTGCCCCTGTTCTAGATCCTTAAAGTGTGACACTATCCATTTTCTGTTGCTGTGGTTATATTTAGTGTTGTGGTTGTTTCATTGTCACTATCAGTAGTTTCAAATTTGAATAAATGCACTGAAGCCAATGAAATTGATCCCTATGTCCAATGTCTTATATGCTCTCTGATATAAAGTGATATCCCACCTCCAACTTTGACTATAGGAAAAAGAATAATTAATAAGACAAGTTAATAAGGAAAAATAAAATCAACTTACCATTTCCTTTGGTCAGATCTTCAAAGAGTGGGATTTTAGGTCTCTCTGCAAATGCATCTGCCTGATTTACGAGAGCTTCCTTCACTGTCTCATACCCGGAAATCACTACTACTTTCCTCTGCCCCATCTGAACACTGAAGACTGGACCATATTCTTTTGACAGCTGTTAGAAGGAGATGAGAGATTTGCAGCTTTTACTGCATACAAAGAAGTTCACCACCCTTTCAGTGCAGCTTATTTCCCTGTCCTGCCTCTTAAGTTACTAACGTGAAATATTTTCCTAACTACAGGGAAATACACTCATGTCGGAGAACCAACCTTCTGCATTAGAATGGAATCACTGAAATACAGCAGAGTCATGTTGGTGCTGTTGACCTGAAAACGGATGGAACTTGCATTTGTCAACACAATTAATCTGTGTTGGATAGCTACAGTGATATTCCATATAGTGCACCTAAGCAGTCTTTTCATTTGTGGCTGCAACATACATACAGATATGTAGGTGCAAATATCCCTTTCAAAATCATCAGCAAGGAGAATGCATAGTTTCAATGTCTAAGTAGAAAAACCTCTAAGAAAGGAGCGGT